TGACTAGGAATGCAGGGGCTGAAGAGACACTAATCATGAAGACAAAAAGTGTTCACGTTAACTTGTCATTGGAACAAAGGAGAGAGGATGGATGAAGCAGTGCCAAGGACTGAGAAGATGGCCCAAAACCAAGTTGTCTACAAGGTTGTAGTTTTAGATGTTGAACGAGGAAATCATTAAATGGTCAAAACATATTATTTTCTAACTGGTGTCTGGGCCAACATTAAATCCATCATGCTTTTGTAATCTCCAGATGACTTGCAGTAAGTCTAATAATGTGTTATGAAAACAATTTAATTAAACAGATGCTCTCAATATTTGTACACTCTTGGAAAAGGGTCATCTCCTTTGACTATATCAGCATCACATGCTTTGAAAGCTGGTCAAGTTAAACAATCTTTGGTAATATCTACTTTTCTATGATCATCAAACTACAGCTACTCTTAAAACTTGAGGTCAACTTACTTGAGAATAGTATGTTCAAACACCAATATTAAAGCTTCCATCTGTCATAATAAATTTGGAGATTTAATAGTTCCAGGTCACATAGACTATTAAAATCTAGGCTGTATAAATGTTGAAAAATTAATGGAAATCTAAATGAACGAAAATCCAATGATCCATGTCATGCACTAATCTTATCTTATATGCTATTATCATGCAGGAGAAGTTAATACTACTAAGATAAACAAAAGAGAAGAGAGTCTGTCATGAATAAATCTGCCATACAAGAAGTGCTAAGAGGAATCAGCTTTCAAGTAGAAACTAAAGCATATTCAACAATAAATTCACACCAAGTCAAGAAATACATATCCTTGTTAAATATATCCATACAGAAAATATGAATGTTAATTATACTATATTTTTATTCAACCTCTTTTTAGGTTATATATATATACATATATATTTAAAGAAACTATATGAGACAATAATCATAGATGAATTCTATGGATACCCAATGTATTAAAGATGTAATGTGTGACAAAACAACCGAGGAAGGATGCAGTTTGAGGGGGGAGGATTAAAAGTGTAGTCAGACATTAATTCGCTCTAATTTCACACTAGATTGTCATAAGTGTGTTATAGTAATCCCATGGTAAATAATAAGGATTCAATTTTTACTTAGTTAATTACAGTATATTATATAGATATATAATACATATTATCTATGCATTATCTATATGTATTTTACATATATGTTACCTATATAATATACTCATTATATGTTTATGTGAAAAAACATAAGGGAAACCTCTAAAATCTATATAAAGAAGATGAATTAGTAAACCTAACAGAAGGGGTGAATTTGACTAAATTACATTATACACATCTATAACATATCACAATAGAAGCCTTTGCATAATAAATTTGTTAATAAAAATGTGAAAGGCATAAAAAATTATATTGTGTATATATTTTTAAATACCACAATTAACAATCTATTATAAGGAAGATTAACCAAGACCAATTAAGAATCATTCCATAATTATTTCTTCAAAACCTATTCTGACTTAGAGAACGTGCAGGAAGTCCACCATAATTACATAATCTATTCTATACAGTATATAATAATGACACACATCTTTATATAATGACACATATTTTACAGGAAAATTGTTTCATTTTACCTGCCATGTGCATTCTGCTTCTCCTTATTATATTATTTTATATAAAAAGAGTAAATGTATTCTAATTATTTGAGAAATTAATTTTAAGTTTCCCAGGATGCTTAATGTAGATTCCTTTATATAACTGATAACTTGCTTTTTCAAGCACTGCTGGTCTGATGGTTTAAACATCTCTAGTAAAACAGACTAATTAGTATGTCACAGAATGCTCAAGGATTCAAATAAATGGGATTTTTGACATTTTACCTGTTTCTTTTTAATCAGGAAACAATCAATCAAGTCTCTTGGATTGTTAACATCCAGTGATTCTTCATGGTCATTTATTTTCTTCAAAATGTAA